TGAAAAGCTCCAAAAACTGCCTCAGAAACGCATTCAGTAAGAACAAAACAGCAAATTTAACCGTTGCTTCTCCGGATGTCGCAACCGCAGACAGCTAGGTGATCACATGCACCAGTAAAACATAGAAGATTTCTGCTCTGCTTTTCACTAACTTTGATTTATTAGCTAGCGTCTGCTGCGTTTCATCTGAACCTTAATCAAGAGAAGCCTGTGAACCGATCAGAACCCGGCGAGCGGGATGCAGGTGGCGTGGGCGGGCAGGCGTGACAGCGCGCCGATGCTGCTTGATGTGCATCTGGACCTTTCCTTTGTAGAAGCTAACACCAAAGAGCCGGCAGAGGAAGCAGCCCGGCCGGCCCGCCGCCTCCGACTTTGAAGTCCGAAAACGCAAACAAATGCATAGAAGTGCAGGAGCATCATGCGTCTGTGAGAGGATTTTATGAATGGTTATTTTCTTTTTCTATTGTTTAAAAATGCTGTCCTTTCTTAACCTGCTGATTTTTTCTTTTTTTTTGTAGAAAGGATGAAGTGTTTGAATCTAATCATGGTCTTTTCCTGCAGCCAGTCAGGTTCATGTGAAAATGTAATTACGTTTTTGCAGATACAGATAAATCTCTCGGCTGCCGGCGAAGAAATTGTTTCCTGTATCTCTTAAAATAAATTAATCCAACCTTTAATTTTGGCACATTTTATTCAGTTCACAAACTGTCGTAAAATGACAGGCTGCCGGAGACTGAAATCTCAGATTTTTCCACCACAACAAAACGAGAATTACTTTTAAAACATTAACAAAACAATGCTTTTGTCTGAGGCTGCATGTTTGAAGGCAATTCTGTATTTCCTAGACAGCTAAAGGAGATTTCCAGGGTTATTTTTTTCATATTTCAAGACCTTCCTGAAGCACTTATTAGAGACAGCCTTTTAAACTGTTGAATCCTGAAATCTATTCTCAGAAACGCGAGTCATTCCTTGTCCTCCCTGTGGATTAGGTGGAGCTGACGTACGCGCTGCAGAGAGGCGAGAGCCTCTGAGGCGCATATGGACACCGGTTTAAAACAGAACATGATCGCACCAAAAACAGAGCTGCGATTCCACCCGATGCGTTTTCCAAATGTCAGGCTGTAGGAACGGCTTTTACTTCTGAATACATTATGCTGACAGTATATCAGGGAGAGTTGAGAGAACTAAAAAACAAAAATGTAATAAAAATGTCTTACAGGGAGCATAAAACATGACCAAAGCATGCTTCTTCTTCTTCAGAGCTTCTCTGAAATCCTCTGAGCCAAGATGGCTGACACTGGAGGGCCTGTCCTCCCAGGACTGCTCTGGTGGCGGAGGAGCCTGGGGACTGCGGAGATAAAAGCAGCTCATGAAATACCGTCATGACAGCAACAGTCCTGTTTTAACGCGTTAGTCAGTAGTCTGTTAGCAGATATACAGGAACAAAGCACGTCAAGATTTAAAATGTGTATTTTGTACTTTTTTTTAAGTTATCTTAAGTGTGATATTGAAATTTATTTGACATTTTAAAAAAAAACCCAACAGAAATAGAAGATATATGTAATGGGGGAAATATTTTCACAACACCAGAAAGTTTGATCAAGGGATGTTTAGAAATGACACAAAATTAAAAAACTACTGACATTTATGTTTTAACATTTTTTTAAAAACGATTATTTATACACCAATTGTAAAAAAGAGGGTTTTTGCAGGTTTCCTGACAGATTTAAGACCATTTAAGACCAGTATGAAGAAAATTTAAGACCAGTATCATGACAGAAGTGTAAAAAAGGAAATGGTATATTTATATTGTAGTGCCAAGTTGTTGTTTTTTTCCCCTGAATGCACCTAGCCTGGCAACAGAAGTGAGCAAGTGGCTAATACAACTGCAGATAATTTACACTTACCAATAATAGATGTAAAAAAAAAAAAAGCTAGCTAGGCAGCAAGAGTTTACAGCAGCTAGCAAGCGGTAGCCTCAACCGCCTTGAGTCTAAGAGTGCAGTGAAGACGCCTGAGTCCAACTCAAACTTTGTGGCCTGACAGAAAAGCCTCATGAGAAAAACAAACTGCGTTTGTTTTTTGTTTTGTTTGTTTTGTACAAGATAAAGTCGTCCTGCCAGGACAAACGTAAGACGTGTGATTATTTAAGGACCTTCGTTTGGATAAGTGAATTTAAGGCTTTTTAAGGATACACATTCAAACCACAGTTTCACTCCAGGAGCGATTTAACTCTTAAAAGTTTGTGATAATATAACAAGAGATCCCCTTAAAGAAACAAGTTGGCATTTCCAGCGCTTTAATGAATGTAACTATTGCCATTATCATTTCATGACAAACGCAACAGATAATGTGTTTGTTACGCCTGCACTAACCAGACACGGAGTGTCGGTGCCGGCTACGTCGGCGCATTTCACACCGACCCCTTAAAAGCCGAGGCTCGACTTGGAACACGCGTCCATTAGACAAAAGGTGAAGAGTCGACGTCTCGCTAAGTGTGTCGAGCCAGTGACTCACTTGTGCATGAACTCGATGATCTTGTCTTTGCTTCGGAGGTGTGGGAGCGTGTACTTCTCTTCCCCTTTCTCAAAGTACTTCACGGTGGGGAAACCGGAGATCTTGAAGCGATCTCCCACAGCCTTGTGCACCGTGGCGTCGACTGCCGCCAGCACGCCGGGGCTCTGCAGAGAAGCAACGTCCAAGTCAAATCATCACTTTTAGACGTCTGCTGCAAGGACTGAAATCTGTATTGGTAATTTAGTACAGTAGGCAGGAGCTGCAGAAAGGTTTGCAGAAGATAAATTGCAGCAACAGAAATACAAGGAGTGGAAATGCAGTAGATGTTACACAAATGATGCAAAGCGCGAGAACGGGAAGAAATGTCAACGATAGCTTAATGTTTTGGACGCCGGTTTGAATAAGATTAATTCAAAGTCAGACTCAGATTGAAGGACAGATAGAGGAATAATGAGATACTTTCCAGAAGCAGCAAGCAGATTTTTCCGATAACCAGCTCGGTGTGACGCCGCGCGGAGCAAAGCAATGCATCTACAATTAGTGGAAAGGAAATTTGCTTCAAGAATACAAACCAACAGAAAACAAAGCAAACCGAAGGAGGGCAGTGAGGCTATTGTTATTTTTACAAAACAATGAAATTAAAAATAGAGCAGCGCAATTTTCCAAAACTTACTTCAACATGTTACCACTTAGGCAGGGTGAGTTGTAACAGACTCAAAACTTAGTTGTAACATTTGCAAAAAAAAATACTGTATATGAATGGAGGAAATCCATGTACAGGTGAAAGACAGACACCGACTCAATCATCTATTTTTCCTCTTTTAGCGATTTGTTACGGAGTGATGATCAGTAACTCCAGTTTTTTTTAAAACTTCTCCAAAGCAGGAACTCTTTTCTGCTCTTCTCCATGAACCTGAATGGGAGTTGTCTGGAAACGTTTATTTAGACACGATCTCAAAGCGACCAGACGTCCATGGCGCTCCAAACAAACACACAAAAAGCTCTGTGTAACAACAAACCGCTGGTCGCTTTTAATTAGGACACGTTCTATCATTTTCTTTCATATTTTCATTTGTTATTTTTTCTTCTTTGCTACATCTGTTTGCACTGTGCTGGTTTTCTCCCCCCCTCACCCCATAGGAGGATGCTCGTCTGGCCGTGAATGTTCTGGGGAAAATTGTCATAATTCTCGGCGTCTGCATCGCATTTTGAGATGACACTTTCTGCTGCCTGTGTTTTCAATGCTCACTCTTACTTTCGCCCCACAGATTTCAAAACCACTTCTGTGAATTCTCCACTTCAGCTGTCATGTTTCAGCTAGTCTGGCATGAACGGCGCTTCCCTTCAGGACCTCCATTTTAAACTCCCGGGGCCTCGTGTAAGAAGCCAGCTGGTAGTTTGAAAGCAAACGCAGAAAACCCGTGTGGGGCTCATCGTGACATGCAGTCACAAAGCTTCATATGACTGTACTTCCTACAGTGACTTAAAAAAAGTGAATGTTTTCACCTTTTAAATGTAAAGTGGAAAGGAAAGACCAAAGCTAAAACTCTGTGTTGCCTATAGCAACAGCCCTGAAAACCTTGAACGGTCTGGAGAAGACGTGTGGAGAAGTAGCGACAAAACCGCAGGAAGAACCGACAGGAAGAGGAAGAACCAACCTCTGAACTCGGAAACAAAAGGTTTGAGCACCAAATGTTCACTTCTATTTTCCCACTGGTATTAAAATGCTTATTTAATGTAATAAAATGCTAAATTACTTAAAAGTTACACAGTGTGATCTTCTGGATGTTTCTTTTTTTTTAGATTTTGTCTCTCGCAGTTGAGGTGTACCTACGATAAAAATGACAGACGTCTCTGCTCTTCATAAGTGGTGAAACTTGAAAAATCTGTGTTACATTAAATGCTTATTTTCCCCTCTGTATTAGTTTAAATCTACAGTTTCAACTTCTAAATGTGCAAAGCTGACACAGAAATACCCCCCAAAAGTGTGCTTCTACAAAGCCCTTACTAAAGGGTGTCACCCAGGGGAGGGTGAATATAAAAGCACACCACACTTTTCAGAATTTCTTCTAAAAAAAAAAGCAAAAGAATAGGAAATCAATTAATAATTTCCTTTTTGTTTCACAGTATTGATGGAATAGAACAATATGTTGTAAAAAATCCCAACGACATTCATTCCAGTTTTGTACTGGGAGAAAATCTGGAAAGATTCAATGGACATATAACGCTGAAGGCCTGTTGAGTAAAGAAAGGAAGCTTGAGTGATAAATTAAGCATTTCAAGCAGATTAGGGAGTTCAAGCTGTGCAACTCTGCAAATGTTTTCACACATAGTACACTCAAAATGAAGGTGAAATCAAATTTCAAAGTACAGCCCAACACATTCAAAGCAAGAAAATAAAATAAAGTAAACAAAACTGAGTTATACACTGGATTCTAAGAGCTCAGGGTGAGAGCAGCTCCTCTCCATTAATATTAGATAATAGGCAGGACTTTGCTATTGGCCTCCAGGGCTGGGCACAGAGCCACAAGGACAAAGGCCAAGCGTGGGGCAGAGCAGCGCTCAGGGATGAGGTCAACGGGCTGGACCGACCTCTGCAGGCCCGGCCCCAGGTTTGGGAGTGTGAGGTTTAAACAGAAACCAGTGGGAAAGAGAGAGAAAGAGAGAGAGACAGAGAGAGAAGAACCACACCCGACTAATCAGAAACACATCCAGAACCAGGCTGCTGCACTGACCCAACGTGCCACCTGCAGCCGCCAACAACCGCAGGCGAAGGAGGAGGGCCAATCACGATCTGTTCATGAGGCGCAGCTACGTCACGCAAGTCGGGATGCGGAGTGCGAAGGACAAAACGCTCACGGACAAGCATGCAGCTCTCATGTAAACAGAGTTCCAGAAACTTACATCTGTGGCTTTGTTGAGCACTTCGGCCGCGTCGTCATACTCTGGCTTCATTTTCTTGCAGTGGCCGCACCCTGCAGGATCCCAGAGAACACACGTTACGGCCAAACAGATGGGTTTCGTTCAGCTGGAGCGTTAATCAATAAAGTTACAGTAAACAACAGAACATCGGGAACAAAACCTTTTGCGCTAGTCAGTCACACACGTGAAAGAATTTAAAGGATCCATTTCTTAATTTGAAACGACAACAAAAAAAAGGACAAAATCCTACCAAGTAACTTTGGTCCTAGATTCAATTGCAAATATCCTCGACAATTGAAATTAGACAAAATTAACTTGCAAGTAGAATAGAATAATGTGAATCCATACCAATTATTTTTTGTTGTTGCTTTAATTTAGTTTTGCTTTTTGTAAATGTCTATTTTTTAAATACATTTTTGGGATAAAAGGACAGGTATAAGATTTTTTTTGTCTTTCTGCTGCCTTTCATTTCTTTGATTTGTATTTTTTTTCCTATTGTATTCTAGTTTAGTTTTTAACGAGATGAATAAAATTCCTAATTTTTCAGCGAGACATAGGAGCTTGTTTTAAGCAAATTATTCCTCAATATTAATGAAAAAGAAACTAACAATCTGCCAATAGAACAAGCACTTTGTCATAAAAGAGTGTAAAGATTGCTGAGAAGTTACTTTAAGTTAGTTTTGTCTTATTTTAACTGTACTAAGATATTTGCACTAGAAACTAGACAAAGAAAACTTAGTAAGACTTTTTGTGTTTTTGCGGTGTAAGATACTGTAAGGAATCAGGTGCATGACTGATTAGAAACAATAAAAGAATAAAAAAAAAATCAATTTACATTTTCAACCACCTGAATCATCTCCACTCAAGTCTAACAGCAGACAGGATGGATTAGACAGCAAGTAAACATTCTGACATTAAAGTTTACGTGTAAGAAGCAGGAAGTAAGGCCTCATGCTGATTCACCAATCAAATCAAAGTTGCGTCGGAGCCCCTCTGAATAGTAATGCAGTGGTGAAGCGAGTAATTTTCCCCCCTCCGAAACTCTTTATAATGCCATATGGAATCAATGCAGCTGTGTTTTCTTAAACAAAAATCTCTTTCTGTCAGGGAAGTTTAATGATGAGATTTCTGCTCATGTATATGAGAAAGGAATATCTCTGGCACACCCAACGGGACTTGGAGCCCGGATTTTGTCGTGCATTATTAGGGAAAAGGTTTTTATGGGATGGGGGCAGTTCGGTGATTTGACGCTACAGCTAGCTTCATGGAGAGCCGAGGTTTGAGGGAGACGAGGGGATTGACGGGGGCGGGGGGGGACGGTGTGAGAGATGACTTGATCTGAGAAGCTTCCCGTCGCCCAGGGCCAGACACTTCAATCCATCCGAGTGGACCACTTCATCTGCATGATGACAGGAAACACCACTGAGCATCGATTCAAAAATAAAACTGGAGAAATATGTTTTCTAGTACTTGGTATTTTGGACCACTCCCGTCCTAACAACCAGACATGCCTCAATCAGAAATATTCAATCCCCTCGCCTAGAGACGCTGCAGCAATGTGGATGGAAAATAATGACAAATTGCTAGAAACCTTTTTAACAATGTAGCTTTGACTTAACTGGACAGTAGAAGTTAACTTCACTAACAAAACTGAGTACATAATAAGCCTGACTCATCACATTTTACCATATTTTTCAGGCTTCTTTTCACAGTCAAGTGCAACTTTTTGCCCCTTTTTCGCGACTAATACTCAAAAGGAAATTACAATATTCATACAGTTAGAAATCCTGTTTATTAGACGTCACAAAACGGATGTGATTGGAGCTTTTTGGGGCTCTTGCTGTGCACTGCTGGTCAAGCTGGCTGCAAAAGTGCGCCACCAAATAAAGCAAATGTGGGCGTTTAAAATTTTTTGTCAAGAAAAACTGACTAAATAATATTAATACCAACCTTCTGTTATTAATAAACATCATCAAAAGGGTCTATTAGTGCGACTCTATAAGACAAGAAATGAGGGGAAAAATGTGCGACTCTCATTAAAGCTGTGGATAATTATTTGTAGCGCCGCTGCATCTCTGTCTTTGCCTTGCTTACATACAGCTGTAATTATGAACATTTATATCATTGCAGCAGAGGCAGAGCTAATTATTGGTTTTAATAAAATTGTATAATTACAAAAACGCATGCGATACCATCAAAGCGAGTTTATCATCCAGTGAGATTTGTACCGGCCCGTGTTTAACAGGAAAACCGTTAAATCCAGAAATGGGGAATAAAAAACTGTAAAATTATACATTCCTCTAAAAGAATGTAGAAGAAGAAAAAAACTGCCTCATTTGCAAAACAAATGTAGCTTTTACAGAGATCTACACTCGCTGGCCATTTTACAAGGTACACCTTCATAGTTCCAGGTTTAATTCCCTTTCATCTACAGAACTGCCTCAATTCTTTGTGGAACAGCTTGAACAAAGCACCAGACCCATTTGGTCCATGCTGACGTCGAGATACGAGTCACCTGGGCACCAACTCTTTCCATCCCACCGCAGAAATGTGCCCCAGTAGGTTGAGATTTATTGTCCGCAGAGGCTTTTGATTTACAGAAAACCCATCGTCTTTGCCAATTTTGCCATTTTTCCAGACTGTAATTGTCCAATTCTGGTGAACTGTATCATCAACTTCCTGTCCCTAACTTCCCTGAGCAATGCTGTGTGTGTGTGTGTGTGTGTGTGTGTGTATGTGTGTGTGGTCTTTTGATGCTGTGGCTTTTATCGCCTCCAAAGGATGATACGTCTTTACGTTGAGAGAGGGGATTCTGAATACCTTGGTTAGGGGCTTGCATCTAACACATCTTTAAATAAAACACACATATTTTTCATATATAGATTGCCCAGAAAGAAGAACAAAACTAACTTTTTCTGAACTTGCTAAATTGCCCTTGTCATAACGGTTCAGGAAGTCCTTTCTTCAGTATAATAAGCAGAACCGGTGGAGGCTATAAATCAAGAGTAATGCACGTTGTGGCAAAGAAACCTGCGTCTCTTTAAACTAAGCCTCTGTGGTGTTTGATTGTGCAGAGTGTGTTGAGGCTCAGCAGAGATGCAAAGTGATTCAGAGGGCTTTTTTTTTTTTTTTTTTTTTAAGGCCCTTCAAAATGATGAGCAAGAGAGAAAGCCCAAATGTCCGTCCTTTGCTCTGTGTCAGGCCTGCTCTGCATTCGGAACAGGCGGCGCGTCGGTGCGTGCTCAGCGGGGGGGCCGGGTGTGTGTGTGAGATACTGCTGATTCTGGTTGAGTGGTGGGGAGATCAGAGTCAAAACAGTAAACATGCAAGCTCCGGAAAACAACGGAGACGTTACAATAAAAAGGAGGTTCTGCCGTTTTACAGGAGGTGTTGTGAAAAGACGTAAGCTAAATGACAATTCAAAAAAAGCTTCTCTGCAGGTTTCACCAACTCAAATTTAAGACTTTTTAAGAACTTTTCAACACCATCATGAATAAAATTTAAGATCATAAAATCACATTTTATATTGCTGTGCAAAGCTTTTATTTATTCATTTTTTTGCCTAGATTACACGTAGCATCGTTCAGGTTGATGATAATTTACATTTTCCAATAATAGAAGCACAAAAAGCTAGCGAACTAGCTAGCAAAAGTTTATTAGCAGCTAGTTAGCGGTAGCCTCAACCATTCCGAGTCACAAGGATGCTCAGAAAATGTCTGCATCTGACTCAAGCTTTTGCCTGACAGAAAAGTTTCACGATAAAAATTAATTATGTAGAATAGAGGTTTCCCCCAGAAAACTTGCTTAGCCCGGCGCTCGGGGCGCTAGGAACATCATTCATCCAGCCGGCAGCCATGGTTTTGAGTTAAAAAATGTTTAATGCTGACAGGAAATTTGAAAATATCACTTGATAGTTATGCATTTTTGGAAGACTGGAAGATTAATACCCACACACCAACTACAAATTCTTAAAAAAGAAAAAGAAAAAGGCAATGATAAAAAAAAAAAAAACTAGAATAAATTAATGCTAAGCCTGGTGTCAGCACAAGTAAAGCCAGGAGGCCCGCCAGGCTTATAATACACTGTGGGAAACCCTGGAATATACAACAAAGCTTAAGACCTGTGATTAATGTATTTAAGGCCAACTTACAATTTTTTAAACATAAACTTAAGAAATTTGAATGAATTTAAGACTTTGTGAACCCTGTGAAATGAGGCCCAGTGACCAGTGATCAAACAATGCAGCTATAATTAGCTTTGAAACAACACTCAGTGCATCAATAGCTCAATAGAAACTTTTGTTTTGGTCCAGAACACAATCGCCCGCCCTCAGTGCACCGAACTGGAGGCCCACAAGAAGTTCCACACAAAGCTCCCCTGCTGTGCATCTCAGAGGACAGTGAAAACGGGCAGAAATGCAAGGCGATCGCGTCAGCCGGGAGAACATTAATCTCAATTTGACGGCAGAGCCATCAAGAAACTGCACCGAAGCAGCAAAACCGGGCAGCTATGCGTCTGTGCCTCCATTAGAGGGAAACAAGAGATATGCAGCTCAATTGTGCGCACTAAATGTTTTGTCATGGTGTGTGAAATATGCATTCGATATGCTGCTGGCGCGCGCACGCGGAGCGCACGCACGCGGTATTTGATGAAGCTCGTTTCAGCCGACTGCCCTTGATCTGAGCGTGTTTACGACTGGCTGCTGTTCCGGGGGAGAGTCGAGTGCAGCGGAGGCATCTGTGAAGCTGCGACACCGCAGCGGGAAAAGAGTGGAGCAATCTGCTTCCAGCATCGTTCCAACAGACACTCGCTCAAACACTTCTCTGCACATTTAGGCTAAAAATAGAGAGGGGGGGAGGGAGAGAGAGCGAGAAGGGAGGAAAAAAATAATGCACCACGATTTTGGTCACCCTGTCAGTGACCTCTGAAAGCTGAAGTGATGTGATCATTTTTGCTACACGCAAAACGGCCCTGGAAGGAAACCAGCGGTTTGTGGCGAAATGATTCTTTGTCTAAACACCAACAGCAGGAACCCATGATGCAAATATTTAGTTTTATCAGCAACAAATTTCCATTCTTAGGTATTTTCTCTCCAAACAGTCATGATCTACGACTTAAACCAAAGCAAAGGAGTGAGGACTAGTTGTGTGAGTGACATCCGTTTATACTGAACATTATAACATGGTTTAATTGACACATTTTTGATACAAGTCAGTAGGTAATATATCTAATTAAATTGAGATAAGGGGTAGGATTGAACAGAAAAGTAGTGATAAACTAAATATTTGGTTCTTGGTTATGTATGCACATGTTTTTCTCTGGCCCACTGACTGCTCTTGTTTTATTTTTTTAAACTTGTTTGAAATAAACAAATAAAATCATTTCATAAAGAAATTAGTTGCCATAAAACTCCCAGCCTGATTCTTGCATGAATAGGACTCGTCGTTAGTTTGACATCTGACCCCGATCTGTCCCCACCTGGACAATTCACAAAATTCAACTGCGATAATCAAGTGTTGATGTGGGACCAAAGTCTCAACCAAAAGGGGGATCTGGAGGACAGTAGGGGCAAAAACGATGATTAAAAAAATCAGCAGCCTGAACTTTTCTGGACACAGGAAACACAAAAATGAAAAACAAAAATGTTTTTTTTTTAAACAATTTCATTTAGTAGTAAGTAGCTCTGCTCTAATAACTAATTTTCTGTACTTCAGTGGAAAATGTGCGTGTTTGATTTCTGAGTGGGGTTCATTGCTTTTAGAAGGAAGCTACCAAAAGCACAAAATTATATGTTAAAATGTTACAGTTTTTTTTTCCAAATAAACTTGTTAGATCCTTGTTGAGGCTTGAACTGGAGTGGCTGTTTTTCGTTATGCGTCATTACAGGATAGAGACTGAAAGAACTGATGGTGGGGAGGTGATGTGCAAGACTTGCGTAAAAGAAAAGATCATCCAGAAATATCTGCATCGTGATTAAGATGTTGTTGTCTAACTTAATGTGAATTTCTTTATCAATAATTTATAGCTATATGTCACAACAAGAAGAATGGAAAGCTCCCCAACAAAGAGGAGGAGGAGGAGGGTTTGATCAAAGTAAGTCGTGTCTGGAAGTTGGAAAAAGTCTGGCAGGGTCACAGAGTTCTGCGTAACGACAGTGTGTGGTGCCTGAATGGAAATGTAAAGCATGTGCAGAAACGACAAGCGGGCTTATATGAACCATATGGCGACAATGAGGTGCAATGTGCAGGGATGTAGAGGGGTTCGTATGTGATGGATAGCGATTTCGCTCTGAATTCCCTGCGTTTGGTCTGGCTTTGAGTTTGTTCCCCCCCCCCATTTCTAGTCCTTCCTTTGGTTCCTTTCTCCAACTTCAGAAACTCGCATGACAGCGAAATGATGTTATCAGTGTGACTAAATAACGGCTGAACCCACGGGAAAACTGCACGAAGAATGTTTTCCATGGCAGGAAGGAGCGAGAAGCTCCTCTTGACTGGATGCTGCACATTTTTTACTGCTAAAAAAAAATTCTCAAGATAATACTATGCACTCTGTTGCACAATGAGGGCTGCTGGTGGAGGGAAAGTAAAAGATGAGACAATTTTCAGACTGTCAAAAAGTTTAGCACAAAAGCAGAAGACGCTAAGCGTGGAGTTTTAAAGCACAAGACGGATCAAAAGGATGTCGATTCTTGGCTCTTTTATCCGTGTTGGCTTCCAATGAAGGAATGTTGAATATTTAACGACAGAAGAAGAGAGACTAAGGGTCATAGTGCAGTAGACTTCAATTGACTGGGGGACATGTTCAGCTGACGTGGTCTGCTTTCACTGCGTCACACGATCTAAACCCGTTTACTTCAGTTTAATCTGATTAAACAATCTTTTAATAGCCGGTAAATTGAAAAATAACTTGCTAGTTCCATTTGTTATAGAGAAATAGGCAAATTCATTTACTCACAGGACATTTAAAGAACTTTGTACAATGAAAAGAAGCAAAAATATCCAGGCGGAGATTTGAAACTTTGGCCTCAAAGGGTAAAAGTCCTTCCAGGGATATAGGAATAATTTAAAACTGGTATTAGCAGATCAAAGCTTTACAAAATCTGTGATCAGTACGAATATTGGTTGAAATGCAAATGTGAAGAACCGTTCCGCACTGAACGTAGATGACAATCAAGTGCTTCTAGTATTACAGAGCAAAACCCAGAGAGAGCCAGTAAGCAAAGATAAGTGAAAGATGTTTCCTTGCAACTGATTTATTACTTTCACACTAATGGGCAGTGCTTTTTTTTTCTTTCCTCCCTCTCTTCTTTGTGTTTTCATGCTGTATTACTCACAGGGGGCATAGAACATGACCAGGGCCGCAGGATGTTCCTCCAGGAAGCTGTCAAAGGACTCATCGGTCAGGTGGAAGACCGGCGAGTCCGTCTCCGACCACGGCACCTCCGGAGTCTTTGGCTGCGGGGGCCGAGGGCTGCAACACCACGGGAAAGAAGACAGCGTAAGGACACGGACCGGGAGCCATTTTACAAAGCAGATTAAATCCAGCTGGTCTGTTTTCTGTATGAACAAAACATGTAGATATATGTATAAAAGAGAAAAAGAAAAGAATCAAACACAGCTGTAACCTACACTCCACCCAATGTGTCAAAACACACACACACACACACACACACACACACACACACACACACACACCCACACACACAAACTAAGCGGCCCCATCTCGATGACAGGAACCAGTGCTGCAGCGCCAGAATTGAGTGGACAGTGATATAAACAATATACTCCCTGAACAAGTACGCAAAGAAAACATCATTTTAAA